CACACACACACACACACTCCACACACCACTTTTGTCTGTTTTTTACCCCTTTAAATATTGTAATTTAGAGAATATTCCTCATTTTTCACAGAACCTTTTGTATCTCCCTCTATTAGTTTGCCTGCTTGCACACCAGGTATGAAACAACATGACATCAACATGGATCCATGGATCAAAAGATTTAATTTACTGTGGTATTTCCCTGTTAGCAAAATACATTTCAGACATTTTCACCCCCCAAAAATGAATAACAGCTTTCAGGTTAGCATCTTCAGGCATGTTGGTTTAATCTCAAGATGCTTCTGTCAGCATGTCAAAGCGTTTTGTTTTAAACACTGAACCTTTAGTTTGTATTGAGTGTGCATGCAAGATAAATTGTATAATTTATAAGGGACAGGTGAAAGTTGAAAGTACTTCATTAGTTTTTTCCCCTTTCTACTCAGTTTACTAAAATAATCATTTGATGGACTAGAAAGGAAAAAAAAATTACTATACAGCTCGTTGCACTTCCCTTTAATGATAAAAAGTGCTTACTGAGTACTTTTTGAAAATCTCCCCTAATATATTCCCACATCGCTTCTCCTTGTCTATTTGTGTTCTTTGTGAATATTCTACTCTTACCACTATTTTCCACTTCCCAAATCCCTCTGCTTCTTTCTGAAATTGCTTGAATTTTGCATTAAAGAGCAYAGACAGACCGATCTGATTCCCACTCCCAATATCAGTTTCCCCAAATTCTCTCATAATCAACAGCACATCCAAAAAGATGAAGCATCACCACTTATCAAGATGTTCATTAAAAAATACCAATAAACATTCTCTTTGAAGTCTTTCCATCTGCCTTTCCAGCTCTAATTCTCCTGTAGTTTTACTGGCCAGAATCCTAGACCCATCTCAGCTCATTGTCCCTGATCTGAGCCCTGACTGTCTCCTGTTCAATCCAGCTGCTGTCACCACTCTTATTACGGCTGTCTAATTAAACAGACCTCTGTCAGTGTGTGTGTGTGTGTGTGTGTGTGTGTGTGTGTGTGTGTGTGTGTGTGTGTGTGTCCGTGATGTGGCTAGGCTCGCTGGAGCCAGGTGGCCACGTGTTTGGCTTACACTCGTGGACTGCATTTTGTATGGATGTTAGACCACAAACAAAACACAAAGCCACGCAGAGATGATACAAAGCCAAAGACTTGGCAGCAGTTTTCTGGGAAGACATCGRACATCACCAGGAATGAGACATCTAGCCAAAATGTTTAGGATTTGGTAGATCTGTCCCAAGTGGTCTGGGCTTATTCCAAACGTTCATGGAACCGTGACAAAGAGATGATGCATTTGGAAGTCTGATATGTGGCCCAGTGGCTGAACACTGTCAAGACGCTGAGGAAAAGCTAATATAACAGCAAGCTGAATCTTGAAGATTGAAAACACACTTTATCATGAAGAAAAACTGAGAAACAAAAGTCTTTTAAATCAAGCAACAACTCAGCAGCATGTTAGGTGTGGTAGAACTGTGGTATGTCAGCTAATTAAGAGGCTAAAGTTGCTCAACCCAAGTCACAAACAAGTTGCAGAAGCTGCTGATCGGTTATGATGTCATCAGAAGCTGCAGAGCAGATTTTTGCCGTAAACACTTCAGCAACAAATTTTCTTCTCTKTGCAGCAAATAGAGTAAACGCTTCACCCATATGTTTCCAGGAAAAAAACTCCACTAAGAATATTGCTTTGTCTCGTGATGGTGTTTACTTTTTAAACTCACGCCGTTTGGCCAGTAAACAGAGGTTGGCACCGGGCCTGGACTGGACCASCTCCAAATGTTCTGCTATGAGCCTTCTCCTTGTCCACACTGTCACAGATCCACAGCTGGCTAATGAAAGTCAGGCCCCCACTGGCCACAGAATTCTTTCACATACTGGAGTGTCCTGAGATGTGGAAGCAT